GAGCCACGGCGTTATGCAGTCGCCGTCGGTAGAGGTGGTCGCACGGAAGCCCCAGTGCCGCGTCGCCCGCGCCAAAGGCCTCTTGGCACACCGAGCACAGGGCCTGGGCCTTGATGTGGGCCTCGGTGACCGTCACCTGGGCCAGTCGATCGACCGCGCTCTTCGACGCCGGGGGCGGCCCGGCGCGCTGTTGCTGCTGGAGCTGGAACGTGTAGTTGAGGAAGTTGTCGAGACTGAAGCTGCCCCCAGAGCCGCCCATCATCGCCGGGATGGCGCCACCAGCGAGCGGCATCGGCATCTGAAGGATGAAGGTGAAGTGGAGCTGCTGTGGCGGCTGCTGCGTGGTTCCGGTGGTCGAGGTGGCAGTGGGGGCCGAGGTGCTGGGCTGAGGCGACGCCGGTGTGGGATCTGTGGAGCTCTCAGTCGCGGCAGGGGCGGGTTCGGAGGCGGGGGCGGTTGCGGCGGCTGCCTGGGGTTGGGTGGAGACGGAAACCAAGTGGGCCGGGAGGGAGATGGTCATCGGCAGGGCGAAGGTGACGAGCATGGACGGGAGATGGAGGGTTGGCTGCGGCGGGGCAGTCCCAGCTGGGACTGTCGGAACGGCTCCCGAATCTACTGGTGGTGTGTTCGACATTTTTTTAATCGCTTTGTTGGTGTGGTGAAGGTCTCTCTTTGTTTGGCAAATCGGGACAGATAAAGAATTGGCTCGACTTGATCGAGGTTCGGTGGAAGTGAGAATGGTTCAGGCCACGGGTCTGCTCCCCTTTTATCGCCGGCCGTCGGGCCGTTACCTGCCAGGAATGCTCGCGTTCTGGCTTTCGTGGAATTCCTGCGGACGCCAAAATGGCCTGGAAATCAGCATGCACGCCTCGGCAATTTCTACCAGTTTTCACCTGAGCAGAACTGTCAGTTGCTTCTCACCCACACATCAGCCAAACCGGCGAAGCTTCACTAGTTTGAGCCTCTCAGTGCTGTCGCCCCGGGATGTAAAGCTGTGGGTGCTCTTCGCTCTTGCTTGACGATGAAGATGTGACCCTTGATTGCTTTACTTGGTGGTGGCTCCCAGGAGTGAAAACATCTGGTCTGGGATGGCGTCCCTGTTCTGTTGAGTGACCGTCAATAGTTCAACGTCGCTGCGCGCCTTGACTCCCTCGATGAACCGATCTTGGCTCTTGAGTGGGATTGTCCCTATGATGTGCACCCTCCTTGGTCCGCCCAACTGCTCGCCACCACCGCTGCTTGCGTGGTAGGCCAGCAGTTCGCTAACCCTCTTCTTGAAGGCTGATGAGTAGCACTCCATCTTCCCTATCTCGTCGAGTACGTAGACAATGCACGAGACCTGTACATTGCCCGTTGTGCATGGCACACACATGGTGAGACAGAGCAAGAGAACACGAAGGTGGTGGGTCTTCACCTGGCCAGTGGCAGAGGGCAGCTGCAGCTCGGGCAGCACCGCGGACTCGAACGTGGGCACGTCGACGACGTACTTGGAGACCCTGGGCAGGCGGCCCGTGTGGTCCGATACCTTGGACTCGTGGGCCATCAGAACCGCACGCCCGGTGCTACACAGCACGGCCTCGAAACCCTCGCGCTGCCCCCCTGCGCCCCGCACCTCGCGCGTCACGAACCCGCGCAGCTCGCACTGGCCTGCCGCTGGGCCGCCTTGGCGCAGCAGCGCAATGACGCGTTGGATGGCCGTGGTCTTGCCCACGCCCGGTGCGCCTGTCAGCAGGACCACTCGTGGCTGCTGCATCGTCTTCTTGTACTTGGCTTGCGTGTGAATGGAATGTGTGGAATGTAACAAAGGAGAGCTGTGTGCAAGGAGAAGAGGGAACAGATGGGCAGGTCGAGTCACGTCAGATCAGGAGAGGACGCAGTTTTGGCTGGCCTGTGCCTCGGGTTCGTCCTCCCGTTCGTCCTCTCGCATGAAGGCAATGAGCCGCTGCATCATCTCCTCCGTGAGAGCCGACTGCGTGAGCGATCGTCCGTGTTCCAACTGTGCAGCGGCAAAAGATATCAGTCGTTAGGGGCTTCTGTGTGAGATGCAGTTCGAGCGCGTACGGTGTGGGTGTTCTTGTCCATGACCCGCTCGGCGTGATCGAGGCAGCATGCGGACTTAGCAACCGGCATGAACACCTTGATGTCGTGGCCGAGCCCCGACGCAGCCAGCGTCGGGTAGCCCAGTGGGTGGCCTGTATCGGCGATCAACATCATCACCATCTCGCCAAGCAGACACGGGGATGAACGACACACAATACGCTAAGACCGCGTACCTTGAACACAGTTGACAATAGCCGCATCGCCCTTGAGGAGTTGAACCAGCTTCCCCGTCTGTTTCTCCCACATGAAGATGTGGCCATCATCGCTTCCTGTCACGGTGCCAAGAAACATTTCATAAGAAAGAAAGAAAAAACATCATACACCAACGCAGTATCATGACGGTGGTCTTCCCGCGCGTGCGGTGGTGGTACCTGAGATGATGTACTGGTCGTTGGGTCCGAAGTAGTTGACCTCCTTGATGGTGCGCACGTTGAGGTGGCCCTTCCATTGCCTCTCGTACTCGATGCTCACGTCGGGATTGCCTGCAAAGGACTCAATCAGACGATGGTCTCTGGGCAAAGGCACCTGGGGGGTGGGGGTGTACGGATTCGCGGATCTTCGTCCAGTTCGCTGTCTGCGTCGTCCTGCAGCGCCCAGGGATCGTCGTCGTCGTCATCAGTCAAAAAGCTGATGTCGTCATCCTCCTCTTCGCCTTCCTCCTCCTCTTCATCCTCCTCGTCCTCCTCTCGTTCACTATGTTCATCCATTTCATCGTCTTCTTCGTTCTCGTCATTCACTTCCTGTCGCTTCTCATCGTCTTCGTCCTCGTCCATATCCACAGCCTCCTCGCTTCTTGTTCGCTTTCGCTTTCGCTTCGGCGGAGAGGTCGTCGGTTGGCTGTTCATCATATCGCCGCAGTCTCCCTCGTCACCACCGCGCTGCGGTCGCGTTGGGGAGGCCGCGCGGATTCCGCCTTCCATCTCCATTCCCTCCGTGAGCGTGACACCATCCGTCCCGCCAGCCAGAGACAACAGATAAATGTAGTCCCCTGCCAGAACGAAGCCACACGACAGACCGGTGAGGCTGAGATTGATTCAGACAGCAAGCCAAGACGATCAATCGCTCGCTACACACGGTTTTGTAAAGAGCATACCACCATAACTCGCGAGCAGTTCCGTGCCGGTGCGATCAAAGACCAGCGAGGTCAGGTGCGGGTGGGACATGTATAGTGACCGACCCGAGCGCCTGGGTTTGGCAACCAAATGTAGTTGAGCATTGCAACCACGCGTGAGCAATGTGCGAGCAATGGAGGAGCGTACTGGGCCTTTCGCTGCTCTTCCGAGCGCCAGGACGGCCGGTACACGCGGAAGGGTTGTGTCGGCTTCCGCACGTCGTAGAGCCTG